CACAAGGTGCTCGGTCTGTGTTGGTCACCAGAGTCCGACGTGTTTAGCCTTAAGGTAAATCCGCCCGTAGAGAAATGCACAAAGCGCACAATACTGTCATGCGTTGCTAGATTATGGGACGTCATGGGTTTCGTAGCTCCGGTGGTATTATACGCTAAGCTTTTGATTAAACAACTTTGGTTATTTGAATGCGATTGGGATGACTCGCCGCCTGACAGCATTGTTCGATTGTGGCAGCGCTTTAGAGAGGAACTTCCTTTACTAAGAGAAATTAAAATACCGCGTCATATAAATGTCGATAGAAATAGCAGCATAACGGTTGTTGGATTTGCAGACGCCAGCGAGAAGGCTTACGGGGGGCGTTGTATATTTCCATGTCCAGAATAATGGTAGAAATTCGATTAGCCTCATTAGTTCTAAGTCGAGAGTCTCCCCCCGTAAGGTTGTCTCTCTGGCGCGCTTAGAGCTTTGCGCAATATTAGTACTCACCAAGCTTATTACCACAGTTATCGGCGCATGTAGGGATAGAGTTCACATAGAAAGAACATTTGCCTTTTCCGACTCCACCGTCGCCTTATGTTGGGTTCATTCTTCACCCCACCGTTGGGATACGTTTGTCGCGAACCGAGTGGCCAAGATCCAAGACGAGTTAGAAACGCGGAACTTTTATCACGTGTCCGGTAAGGAAAACCCTGCCGATTGTCTATCCCGGGGACTCACCCCGATGCAAATAATGGACCACCCGCTTTGGTTCCATGGACCTTCTTGGGTTTACTTGGATCCCTCACAATGGCCAATAACCGATTTCGAACCTTCGTCAGTGTCACAACCGCCGGAAGAGAAGAGGCACGCTCTAGTGGCGAACGTTTCGAGCGAGGTTTCTCCAATCATTGCTCTGGCGAACCGCTTATCCTCTTGGTCGAAATTATTGCGTAGCGTAATTTACGTTTCTCGATTCGCGAAGCTTTTACCGCGACGTCCGTATGTCTTAGCATCCGATTACAACTATGCCGAGTCGCTAGTATTACGTGAACTTCAACGTGCGCACTTCTCTGAAGAAATTACAAGATTACAATCGAATAGAGCTTGTAGTCGCGCCTTTCAACGCCTTAAGCCATTTTTACAGGATGGGATTGTAAGGGTAGGTGGACGCTTGTCCAACTCGCAATTGAGTTTCGACCAACGGCACCCTATAGTTTTACCGCGTAAAGACCATATCATGAACTTATTAGTCGATTATCATCATAAATTGAACTCGCACGCTGGCCCCGATTTATTAATGTCGATCTTGCGTCAGAATTATTGGATTCTTTCTGCACGTAGTTTAATACGCAATCGGGTGCACAGATGTATAGCTTGCTTTCGGGCACGCCCCAAGCCGTCATTTCCGGAAATGGCGGAACTTAGATCTTGTAGAGTGATACAATCGGTAAAGCCCTTCACGCACACCGGGTCTGATTTTGCTGGTCCGTTTAAGGTCACGCTCACTCGCGGGCGTGTTATAAGATCCACAAAGGCTTACGTCTGCATTTTCGTATGTCTAACTACTCGAGCAGTGCATATAGAACTCGTTGGTGATCTAAGCACAGCAGGCTTTATGGGTGCATTTAAAAGATTTCTATCGCGCAGAGGCCCTGTAAGTAAATTATATTCGGATAACGGTACGAACTACGTCGGTGCAAAACGTATTCTATCGGAACTACATGAGCTCTTAGCTAGCAAGTATTATAATTCGGAGTTCGCTCACATTCTAGCCGAGAACCGCATTGAGTGGTCTCTGAACGTCCCAGCCGCGAGTCATTTTGGGGGCAATTGGGAGACTAATATTAAAGGTCTAAAGAGCCACTTATACCGAGTAATAGGAGATCAAATTTTGTCCTTCGAAGAGCTAAGTACGGTGCTCGCTCAAATTGAATGCGTAATGAATAGCCGCCCACTTTGTCGGACGTTATCTAGTGACCCCTCGGAACCGCTGGCTCTAACTCCAGCACATTTTTTGACTTTAACGCCTCTAAGGTATCTGCCCGCCGCGGATATGGATGAGAACAGACTTAGCATTTCCACACGCCACAAATTATTAGATCGGTTAGTGCAATCGTTTTGGAAACGATGGAGGATGGAATACTTGCATACTTTGCAGTCTCGGCAAAAATGGAACACAGCGACAGAGCCTTTAGCTGTAGGAACCGTAGTTGTGCTCACTAAGGAGAATACGCCGCCTCTCCACTGGCCGTTAGGAATCGTCGAGGAGGTCTTTCACGGTTCCGACGGAGTAATTAGGATAGCTCGCGTTAAGACCACGGTTGGGTCTTACCTACGTCCTGTTATCCGTTTGTGCCCCTTGCCTCTTCCATAATTTAAATTAGCTTTCTAGACTGAAATTGTAGTTTAATTTAGGTAATCTTAGCGTTAGTTAGTTATTTGTTAGTCGATCTTAGCTCTAGTTGTTTAGTTATTTTTTTTGAAGGAAATCCTTCAAGGGCGGGGGGAGATGGTTGCGCGGAAAACCATTCGCGTTTTTTATTTGACGGTAGGAACTTGTAGAATCATTATTCCTTTCCAAACAATATCATTCGTACCCTCCTATCGACACATCGGGGTGGTGGGGTGGGAGGGGAAAGAAGACGATTCTAGAACATCGCGTAATCACCCGAGCCGAGGATATATAAGACACGCGCGACCGATGCGCGAGCCTCTTCTCCCGCCGCAGTCGTCGTTGAACTACAACCTCCTCTTCCCGCGCGCTCGTTTGGAAACACCTCACTAATGGAAACCGCTTTGGCCTGGAAGCAGTCGAGCTCCAGGAACCCGCCTCACCTCGTGTGAGATATCGTCGCGCACCGCCTCTCTCCGGAGTGTTCCAGAAGTCGCCGCTATAGTGATCGACAGGAAGAAGAACCCCGGTGAGTCAATATTCCTTAATTATACCTGCTTGCTAATAGTTTAACCCGCTCCAATCTGTGTTTTTTTCCTAGTCAAGCAGGATTCCTTTCATCGATTCGACAAGTAATAGTTTAGTTTAGGGAAGAGCGAGTGCATTGTACCGCATGCTATAGTAGTCGCTTTACGTAAGCGTAGAAGCAATCGCATATACAGTCCACTTTAGTTAATATCTCGCGTAATAGGTTTGAGGTTTGACCGGGGAACTAGATTTTCGGCAGCCTTAAACACGTGGCTCCACCAACAATAGTAATAGCAGAGTGAAGTTGGAGACAACTGGGCCACTCATGCAAATAAAAAGAGGTGTAAGGCAAGGAGAACCTATCTCACCAACGATCTTTATAGCGGTGCTAGAATCCATCATTCGCAAACTAAACTGAAAGAAAGTGGGAATAAACATAAACAGATTTTAGCTGAGTCATCTCAGATTTGCTGATGATATAGTTTTACCATCAGAAAGCACAAACCAACTCCAACTGATGATAAACTCTCTACATGGGGAAAGTCGTAAAGTAGGCTTGGAAATCAACTTAAATAAATCTAACGTCATGACAAATCACACTAAAATGCCTATATATCTCAAAAATCTGCCTTTAACCTATGTTGATACATTCATATACCTGGGTAAACAAATCTCATTTAACAATTAAAAAAAATCCGCCATACTGCCATAAGACAGAAAACTAAAGCCATCGACGCTCTCAGCTACTCACAGAAACTAAAATGGCGATGGGCCGGACATATAGCCAGACTTACTGACAATCGCTGGACCATAAAGACAACATCATGGTCAGGACCATCAGGCCAAAGAAAAAGGGGTAGAGACCAATCGCGCGCTGTACAGAGGACATTATAAAAATAGCAGGTAAAATAGCAACTGGATGCGAGTAGCAGAGGACAGAAAACATTGGTCATCTCTGGAGGAGGCCTTTACCCTCCGTTAAAGAGAGGTTCTTGCAATCGTACACATACACCAATAAAAGCTAACTAATTCTACACTGTGTGTGAATTTTAGGAAAATTTAATTTTTAAAATATTATCAGGATTTATTAAAACTTTTAAAATGCATTCTTAGACTTGGTCTAATTTTTTTGGTAAGACATGGTCTAAGACAACTACTAGAAGTAAGAAGTAATTTATTGCAATTAATTAATGAAATTGTAAGTCTATTATAAACCTTGTTCTATCCTCCTGAGGCCCAGAAGTTTGAAAGTTTTTTTAAGTTTGAAAAATTAATAAAAATCAGATCAGTGAGCTATAATAATGTTATAAATTCATGGAAAAATAAAATAAAAAAATCTTTGGTGAAAAACTGGGATTTTCTCAATGTTGTTTAGAAACAACATCGGTTCTCAATTACTACTGAAATGAAACTCGAATTGAAGTACACTTATTCAGTTTAATACAACATTTATGGATATACTGAAATAAATGCAAAATATTTTACAGCATTTTATGTAAAATATTCTGAATATAATCAAATCGTAACAATGTTTGAAATCTATACTTATTATTAATTAAACTTATGATAAGAACAATAGAAATATGGTTTAGTAATCTAAGCCAGCAGATTTGCTATTGTCGTTGTTAGTACCTCGTTAAATAATTACAGTCAGTTGATCTCGTAGGACACACAGGATTTGATTAGTAAATCTCTTTCTCACACATTACCAGTCTCAATAGAATTTATTATTCTATTGACAAACAAACATAAATCTTTACTTATTTTGAAATTAAATAAAAATAACTATAACCTGCATCTATAATAAGAATAAATTATTAAAAAATTGTTTCATACCTCATGGTTACAAACTTTTATGAAATTTTAGAAAACAATTCCTTTTTCGGGTACGGCACAAATAAATTTCCAGTCAGCCAGTCAGTCCGTCGGTTCCTGTGTTTTGGCTGCAGTTCATCGTAATCACTGCAGGACTCAGAATCAGATGACAAAGTTATTATCTGCAATCAAACACTCTTCAAGTGAGTCTGAATTCTCTTAGCTGGGAAATTCTTTTTGGTGGCACATTATTTTTCTTCTGGCGGCCGTAACTTCTTGTCCACTAAAATATATCCTGGTTGGAACAGTGGCCGCTCCAAAGGAGAAAAATCTCCATTTCAATTATTGTCCGTTGAATGCGCATTAGAATTGCGAGTACTAACACTTCGTTCTCCTCTTGTTCTTCACTCCTGCCTTGTCTTGAACGACTTCCTCGTGTTCTAGCTCCGCCTCTAGTAGTATAACACCCTTGACAGAATGATGATGAAGTAGAAATTTCTAATAACGGCCGAGATTCGCTTACAGATTCTGAAAAAGAACCTAAATCAGAATCACTTAGACTAGTCTCTCTCACAGGAGGTGTCTCTTCTGACTGTTCACCGTCATCGTCGTCTGATAAAATATCCAAGTCCGAATCTTCGAGGGCGTCGGTAAAGTCTGCATCTTTCAAAACTGAAAAATAAATCAATAAATGTAACAAAAATAAGTGAAATCTCTTAATGTTGTATAGGTAATTACATCGGGACTTTGAACATGTAGGTACGGAATTAAGAACCGATGTAGTAAATATACAACATAGGTAGTGAAATTCAAATATACCGTAAATAACTATCGCAATCTATCAAATATTGTTTGCATTACAAAGAAGACTATTTGGATTATAGTTTCACTTCAAAAAAATAATATAAATACTATAGATTTGCATAAAATGTAAAGATTACTCACCACGTGGCCGCCGTTGTTCTGCCTTCTTTTGCAACAAGTAGAGTAATGTAAAAAAATATGACAAAGTGCAAAAAATGGCTGCTTTAATTATTCAAGCAACGTATCGTCTGTGGTCTAATTACAAAACTTTGACTATTATTAAACAGATGGAGGTGTAATGAGTTTTTATTTTTTATGTTGTATATACTGTAAGCCTCAGGAGGCTATTACAAGCACGTAAATATCAAAAGTAATACATACCAAAATACTAAGTTTTATAACACTGGGTCAATTAATTTTTGCATGCACACTGTTTCAAACTGTAAATCTATACCGTGAAGCAAGAAATAAAAAGCTTTTTTTTAATTACATCAAATTGTAGTCTAGGTAAATATTAAATTTTTTAAGTCGCTGATGTTTCTGTTTTAATTGTTGAGTACTTACAAACTATTTTACTATCAAAAAATATTTATGATTTTAGGCTACGAATGAATATTTTAATAAGACATGAATTTTTTACGTGGTGAGCCAAGCTGCGGTTATACTATTAGTAGTATAGTTATAGCACGAATGGGTCGGCTCGACCGGGGAAGGACCACGCTCTCACAGAATACCAGTGTAAAATAGTAGCTTAATGCTGCTGTTTCGTATGGTGAGTGTAGAGAACCGGAGACCCTTTTTACTGAAACGAGGCATTCCATCTTAGTCGTCATGGGTGACAACGCATCTGCATTTTGATTCGTAATCGAGGATATATGTAGATGTCTATGGGCCACAGCAACACTTATCATCAGGCGGACTGTATGCTCGTTTGTCACCCTATCCTATAAAAAAAGAAGGGTAGTTGCTATAAGACTGAGCTGAAATGAACTAAAATGGCAGCCACCTCTTGACTTGACAGTGGTAGAGCCACGCAGTGGCTATTGATGCCGGGGTGATACCACGACCTCACAGAATACCGGCGTGAAGTAGAGGTTTACCTCTGCGTTTCACTTGGGCTGGAGGCCCAATTCGTCGCTATTCGTGAATTTTCGCAACATTAGGAAACTTCATTCCAATATTAATGCTGTTCTCCACCACCCGGAGACGGCGAAGCCGGCCTTGCTCTTTTAAACCGAGACTCGGGTGTCCTCCCCGGCTGATACTTCATATCTCTCCTACCCGGGGTACAAATTAGAACACTCCTTTGTGCCCCCGGCTGGAGTTTGTTATATTTTGCATTTACTAAAATATACTTTTTTCATTTAGAAAAGTATATTTTTAATTCCGTGGAAATTTATTTTTATTCCAACTAATTTTTTTAGTATTAAGTTATTTTTTATAATAAACATGTTTTACATTACATATTATGTTGTATATTTTATCTATGCTTACATGCTCACTGGACAATCTATCAAAAAGACTTTTAAATGATTTACAGACGCCTCCTACGTGCTTCATCTTTTTTGAATTGTTAAATTGTTGAAATTTATTAAAAGAGACGGATATACTTTCGCATTCGCATCGCATATTGCTCTACAGTTATAGTATTGAATCTCGATTTACGGGTACTTTTAAAAAAAAAAGTGGAAACACTTCTCTGACTCACACAGTTATAAAATTGGTTACAGTCTTGTTCTAGGTGCGATATCTACCTTTTTGTACTTCATCTGAGATTAATTGAATAATGCATATTTAAATTCTTTGCTTTAAATTATGATTGTAATTTTATCATTTAATTTATATTTATTTGGTTTAAATCATTCTATGTGCATAAATATTTCTTTTCATTTAATTAATAATTTTCGCACGCCAGATCACCTCTGATGTACCATACCATGTGTTTAAGCGAATTTATGATATTATTATTATTAAGAAGACCAACACAAAATCACAAAAGTATGCACTATGGAGTGTAGAATGTAGATGTAAGGAGAACAGACTGTGTATTAAAGTGTCCGTAGAAAAGCGTTAAATAAGGGTGGTGCCACTGTAGCTAGAGGGTAAATTTTGAAGAACTTTTTATAACATTTTATTGCACAGACTTTCACCATAATTCTTTTTATAATAATTATTTTATTGTTTTCAAAATTTTTATTTTAAAAATCACTCTCAACGTGTTTTACGGTGACTTTTTCTAGGTTATATCAACGTGAGTAGTTGAGGTTTCAAATACTGCAGTTTTATCAATTACTTTAGTCACCACAAATATTAAATTCCTCAACTCAGCACATTTCACTCCGTCGACAACTGCTAAGTTCATTTCATATCCTCCAGCTACTCCAGCGCTGTTGTGGAGAGTTTTTGAACTGTTATTATGCGAGTTTGTTCTCCTACGTCCTATGTTTGCATGGAAGAACATCCAATACGTAATTTTTTGTAACAAATCGCATAAAATAAATCACACAACATGTTTTGTTGATGGACGCGTTCACACTTACAAAAACTTTAAAATTTGCAACAGATATTAAGATTTGTTGTTATTTGTGTTCACATTAAATACAACATAGATATTCTATCTCTTTATACATAGATCGGTCAAAGTTAGCGTTCACACTGTTGTTTTTAATGTTTCGGAATTTGTTTTAAATCGTGTTTTTTTGTTAACCAATTTAGTTGCAATACATTATTACCCCTAGTGGAGAAGAACGATAACTTTATATGAAAATAAAATAAATGTGGTATATTTCCACTAACTCCATCTATAGTCAAATTACCTGCATTTCTCTCGTGTGGCGGAAAAATTTGTCTTCTTTTTGGGGTTTTTATTTGGGGTATTTTTTTGGGTTGCCTGTCTCAGAGCTCGATATAAAAAAAGAACATAATAAAATACAAAAACTTAAAAAGAACTTTACAAAACTATTTATCAAATAAGGTAATTTCTCACTGTCATCTTCATAATGTGTTTTAAGTGACAAGAATTTTTCCTTCCACAACATGTTCTACTCACTAATTACATATATGAGAAAAAAATATGAAAGCATGTACCACCTTTCTCTTATAATTTTACAAAGCACAGTCTTCAAAGTATAGTCTATTTCAATAATCTGTGTTTGCTTGGAAAGCCATACAGGGTTATTTTGTGATAACTAATATAAACGGTGAAGAAAATTAATTTAAAAAAAAAAACTCAAACTTTGTGTCCTTTTTATCTTTTAAATTCAAAATGTGCGGTAATTAATTAATTTAAGTGATTTTAATGCACACGCACACATTCGTAAGGGTCGATCGATAGGCAAAAACGTTGTTGTCATTAATTAGATTCAATTTTGAATAGTTTTAAATAAAAGTAAAAGCCTTTTTTACTCTTATTTAAAAAAACTGCAATAACGGTATATCATTATTTATATATTTGAGTTTAAGTTTAAAATGGCTACCCTTTGAAAAATAACCCTAATGTATATCGATACCGGAAATTTCAAATGCCGTAAAGGACATTTTGCCGAAAATGAGTTATAAGTATATATATATATTTGGAATCAGCGTCGCGAGGTCTATCGATTGGTATATTTAAAATAATTTTATCTTTAAAAAAGCTCCTTACGACCTGGATTTTCAACACCTCTAGCTCGATTTTTTATACTATTTGGGATCTACTGTAAAAATAATTGTCAATAGGGAGCGTAAAGTTGTGTTTTAATTATTTATGAGGTTGTAATGTCATTTTATGACAATCTAAACCCTTACGACCTAATCCATGCTGTTCTTTATCTTACATAATTAGGGCGTAAAGGTCGTTTGTTTTTAATTTCCTTCCTCCAAAATCCTTTACGTTCTTACTTTTAATGTCCTGGACAAGCAATCGGGTGATGTCTTTGCACCTGAACCTGAAATAAAGAAGATCACTTCAACTACCCCTATTGACAAGGTGCTAACCACTGACGTTATTCAAGACATACCTCCCGGTGATGTTGTCTTTACGCCTGAACCTGAAATAAAGATCATTCAGACTACTCCTATTGACGGGGTACTTACCGCTAAAGTTATCCAGGACATGCCTTCGGGTGATGTTGTCTTTGCGCCTGAACCTGTAACAACGAAGATTACTCAGACTAATCCTATTGACGAGGTACTTACCGCTGACGTTATCCAGGACATGTCAAGATTATTCAGACTAATTCTCCTGTCGTTATACATGAGCCACGGGCGCATCATACCCGTGACGTTTCTTGCACTGAAATAGTTACAGACAACGTAGACCAATCTACATTATTTCTACAACATCAGGTATACACTTCTTTAGAAACCTTCGGTTATCAGTATTTTTTTGGTCCAACAACTGACACCAGTGATTATGTTATGAATTCTGAACACCCTAAGCGTAGTAATAAAAATTATATTTTTTTTATCCCACGTTGATTATCTTTCTGATAATGAAGACTTTTCAGCAGATAGTTCCGATCTTTGAAACATGAATGAATCCGAGAATATAAGTAATAGAGAGAATAAAAAGAGTGTACTAGAAAAAGCAAAAAGTAATAGATAAGAACCAAAATAGAGGTAAAAACTTAATTAAAGACAAAACTTAAAAGGAAAACAAACGTAAGCTTAGGAAACAACACAAAAATGCTGGCAAGTTATATGAAATAAGATCAGGAAGTATATAATGGAAGAGAAGTCAATAAAAAAGAAAACCATGCTTACCTGGCGTATGTTCTGGAAAATGTTACGAAGTATCAGAAGATAGAAAAATGAGCCTATTTAAATATTTCTGGACTCTAGATGTTCAACGTTGAAAAGACTGGATCGTAAGATGTGCACAAAAATGT